TATCAACATCTTATGCACCCAAGGCAGCAGAAAACCTGCCCTGCATGACAGTCAGTGGCGTCCCTGGGCAGGTGCGGGGGGGTGCGCGTCGTACCGGGTGACACCTACCGCACGGGGTGACACCGGACCCGCTCCACAAAAGGGTAAGTTGTAAAGCACCCAATTTCTACATTTGACAGAAGGCGCTGTTCCATTTTAAACCATAAGCACTGTCATTAGGGGCGTCCTTAGGGTTGGTGTCACCCGGTGCGATAACACTTGGTGACACCCCCTCCGACAATCCCCGCAGAATGGATCGGATATGCGGATTCAGCATAATGGATCAGAGTCCGATCCATTATGCTCCCCAATCCGCAGATCCTATCCATCCTGCGGGGATCGTCGGCTTGCTTTACAACTTACCTTTTCATGGAGCGGGTCCGGTGTCACCCCGTATAGGTTGCATGCCGACGATCCCCACAGGATGGATCGGATCTGCGGATTGGGGAGGATAATGGATCGGACTGTGATCCATTATGCTCAATCCGCAGATCCAATCCATTCTGCGGGGATCGTCAGAGTGGGTGTCACCAAGTGTTATCACAATGGGTGCAGGGGCAGACTGACAACTCTCGGGGCCCCCCCGGGCAATAGGGGATCATGGGGCCCCTGTGTGCTTGCCCAAACTCAAAAAAGCCTATGAAAAAGGTACCAGGGGCATCTCATGGGGCCCCCTACTGACCCCGGGCCCTTGGGCGGTGCCCGAGTTTCCAAATGGTCAGTCCGCCCCTGAATGGGTGACACCAACCCTAGGGACGCCTCTGATGACAGTACTTATGGTTCAAAATGGAACACCGCCTTCTGTCAATAGTAAAAATTGGGTGCTCTGATAATACATTTTGAAAACATTTATTTTTGCAAGTATTTATTTTGAATGACAAGCCAACACACCAAAGGGCATATTTATAAAGCAGTAGATGTGACTTTCACCAAACATTCATTGGTGGCGATTCTGGCGAAGCCGCCTTTGACATTAAAAACACATGGACCAGGAAGACTCAACTGAAGTGAAAGTTTAACGTCCAGTTCCTTGCTTGAAAAGCCTTGAAGATTAAGCATTTTCTGGCACATTTTATTTACAGGTTTAAATCAGTATTTTATTGCTACAAATTACTTATAACCCCCAAACATTACATTTACATTTTTAGCAAAGACCCTGGAGCACGGATGTCAAACTGGCGGCCCTCCAGCTGTTGGCAAACTACAAGTCCCATGAGGCATTACAAGATTGACAGTTACAAGCATGACTCCCAAAAGCAGAGGCATGATGGGACTTGTAGTTTCGCAACAGCTGGAGGTCCCGATTTCTTTATGTAGATCTTTATATCACTAGAGGGGTCACCGGCAGGAGGAAGGAGGTCCTGATTCCTCTATATAATTCTTTACATCATTAGAAGGGTCACCAGCAGGAGGAAGGAGGTCCTGATTCCTGTATATAGATCTTTTATATCACTAGAGGGTCACCGGCAGGAGGAAGGAGGTCCTGATTCCTCCATATAGATCTTTATATCACTAGAGGGGTCACCAGCGGGAGGAAGGAGGTCCTGATTCCTCTATATAGATCTTATCACTAGAGGGGTCACCGGCAGGAGGAAGGAGGTCCTGATTCCTCTATATAGATCTTATCACTAGAGGGGTCACCGGCAGGAGGAAGGAGGTCCTGATTCCTCTATATAGATCTTTATGTCACTAGAGGGGTCACCGGCGGGAGGAAGGAGGTCCTGATTCCTCTATATAGATCTATCACTAGAGGGATCACCGGCAGGAGGAAGGAGGTCCTGATTCCTCTATATAGATCCTATCACTAGAGGGGTCACCGGCAGGAGGAAGGAGGTCCTGATTCCTCTATATAGATCTTGATATCACTAGAGGGGTCACCGGCGGGAGGAAGGAGGTCCTGATTCCTCTATATAGATCTTTATATCACTAGAGGGGTCACCGGCGGGGAGGAAGGAGGTCCTGATTCCTCTATATAGATCCTATCACTAGAGGGGTCACCAGCAGGAGGAAGGAGGTCCTGATTCCTCTATATAGATCTTTATATCACTAGAGGGGTCACCGGCAGGAGGAAGGAGGTCCTGATTCCTCTATATAGATCTTTATATCACTGGAGGGGTCACCATCAGGAGGAAGGAGGTCCCGATTCCTCTATATAGATCTTTATATCACTAGAGGGGTCACCAGCACGAGGAAGGAGGTCCCGATTCCTGTATATAGATCTTTATATCACTAGAGGGGTCACCGGCAGGAGGAAGGAGGTCCTGATTCCTCTATATAGATCTTTATGCCACTAGAGGGGTCACCAGCAGGAGGAAGGAGGTCCTGGTTCCTCTATATCAGGCATGTCCAAAGTCCGGCCCGCGGGCCATTTACGGCCCGAGGGTCGGTTTAATACGGCCCTCCATGTCAGTGTGTCAGTGTGTCTTATGGAGCGGCCGGTCCGGTATTTCCACCGCGGCCGTGTCAGAATACCGGGCCGGCCGCTCTGCTCTGCAGCGGGACCTTACCTGTTCCTCTATCCAGCGGCGCGCTGTCTTCCCGGCTTCTGTAGTGTGGGCATGACAGCTGGGTGCCAAGTGCGCATGCGCAAGAAGCAGTGCTTTTTGTGAATGGTAAGGCGGTACCTGGGACACATGACAGATCCCAGAAGCCGCCGGACCAATCACAAAGCGCACCGCTTCTCGCTCATGCGCACTGGGCACCCGGCTGTCATGCCGAGCGCCATTACAGAAGCCGGGAAGACAGCGCGCGGCTGGATAGAGGAACAGGTAAGATCAAAGAACAACTGCGGAAGTAAGAGCGGGTACCTGTCAAATTCAGGTACCCGCTCCCCACCTCCCCAAAGGTCAGCAGTCATCTGTGCTGTCCGCAGTCTCTGGTCATCCCTGTGCTGTCCGCAGTCTCTGGTCATCCCTGTGCTGTCCGCAGTCTCTGGTCATCCCTGTGCTGTCCGCAGTCTCTGGTCATCCCTGTACTGTGTCTGCAGTCTATTAGTTCAGAATTTTTTTTTTCCTGTTTTCTGCCTCTAAAACCTAGGTGCGTCTTATGGTCAGGTGCGTCTTATACTGCGAAAAATACGGTAACTTGGCATAAAATAATTTATTTGCATTTAATTGTAATGGTTTGGAAAAATGTTCGGCCCTCCACCATGTTCACTTCATCCAATCTGGCCCTCTTTGAAAAAAGTTTGGACACCCCTGCTCTATATAAATCTTTAGTTAGACCTCATTTAGAATAATGAATCCAGTTCTGGTGACATCGCTTACAAAAAGATATTCATAAGATACGAGGGAACGAAAATCATGAAAGGACTGAGAAATAAAACATATCAAGTGAGACTGCAGGAAACCAACATGTACTGTCTGCAGGAAAGAAGGGAAAGGGAAAAAAAACCGGGACATGAATACAAAGTTGGATGAACAGCGTGAAGGGCAGAATTTCATTATAAAGCTTAGATCAAAAATTTGGGGACGTGACTCCAAACTAGCAAAAGGAAAGTTCGAGGGGCAATGATAGAAAGCACTATTTTACTGAAAGAGTAGTGGATACTTGGAACAGACTTCCAGCAGAAGTAGCGAGTCAATAAGTGAAGTTAAAGCGGAGTTCCACTCATCCTGGCAAAAAAACAAAAAGTCAGCAGCTACAAAAACTGTAGCTGCTGACTTTTAAAAAACAGTCACTTACCTGTCCCTCGGTCCTGCGGTGTGTCCCCCGCAGCTCGTTTCACTGGCCGTCCTGTATTCCAGGAGGCCGGCATCTTCAGTGTGGGCACCCGGCTGTGATAGCTTGCGGCTTCACAGCCGGGTACCCACTGCGCATGCGCGAGTAGCTCTGCACTTCATGAATGGTCCTGTAGTCTTCTGGGACCTGTCTCGTGTCCCAAAAACACTACACGGAGGGAGGACACCTTCCGCTTCCGATCACCTAGGAGATCGGACCGGAATTGGGAGCCGGTACCTGTCAAATTCGGGTACCCGCTCCCCCCTGCCACCCAAAGGTGCCAATCCTTAATGGGGAGCAATCCTTAAAGTGGAACTTCCCCTTTTGGGTGGAGCTCAGCTTTAAACATGCTTGGCATTAACATAGTCAGTCAAAAATTAAAGTAGAAGAACAAAACTGTAAACAAAGCAGACTTGATTGGCTTTGTGGTCTTTTTTTCTGCCACCAATCTTCTAAATTTCTATGTATATGCTCTCTAGGGTCATATTGATGAGGTGCTGATCATTTTTCCCGTTTGCTTTTTGGGTTATGAGAGGAAACCTACAAAACACAAGTGGAAACAGACAGACTCCATGCAGACAGCAGGGGCGGACTGACCATTTGGAAACTCGGGCACTGCCGAGGGCCTGGGGTCAGTAAGGGGCCCCATGAAATGCCCCTGGTACCTTTTTCATAGGCTTTTTTGAGTTTGGGCAAGCACACAGGGGCCCCATGATCCCCTATTGCCCGGGGGCCCCATGAGTTGTCAGTCCACCCCTGGCAGACAGTGCCCTATCTTAGACCCCAGCTTTGCAAGGGCAAAGTGCTAACAATTTATATACATTCTCTGCAGCGCGTGCGTCATGCCGCTTTAATCATCGTCTCCCTTCGATATGCTGCAATAAGGGGGCTTTCATTGGTCTGACCTGGATTTCTCGCTGTCACTTTTACATACACTTTCCTCCGCGGTGTTTAACAGTGAGACAGGTGTAGCCTTAATACGTTTAGGAGAAGCCAATTAACACTTTGCAACCTTAGCTTGGATTACAATGATTAATGGAGATCTAAATCCCAGGCTGCTGACATTGGCAGTGGCAGCTTATGGAAGGTGGCACGTTATAAAGAGCGGTGTGCCGGCGGTCACTCTGTAGAGCGGCTCTTGCTGGAAACATAAAAGTTTTTCTTGGGGTTCCTGAGAGGAGGGAGAAACACAGAAGTGGTTTATAACCAGAGGGGGGTTAGAACTTTCAAGAGCTGCCACCATGAATGGAACAGAAGGTCCCAATTTTTACGTCCCCATGTCTAACAAGACTGGGGTAGTACGAAGCCCCTTCGAATACCCTCAGTATTACCTGGCAGAGCCATGGAAGTATTCAGTATTGGCCGCCTACATGTTCATGCTTATCCTCGTCGGTCTCCCAATCAACTTCATGACCCTGTATGTCACCATCCAGCACAAGAAGCTCCGAACACCCTTAAACTACATCCTGCTAAATTTGGCGTTTGCCAACCACTTCATGATCCTGTGTGGATTCACCGTCACGCTGTACACCTCCCTCCATGGATACTTTGTATTCGGACAGAATGGTTGCTACTTTGAAGGCTTCTTCGCTACCCTTGGTGGTAAGTCTATGTCCTTTGAAGAGGGTTCTGGTGTGAAGGACTATACTTGTCTTAAATGGAAGTAGCCAGTAAAGGAGGGCAGTAAAGCTGAATCTGTAGAAATTTCAGTGCAGGCGTAGTCACTGCCTGGAAGATAGCCTGTGGTACAGGACTCAACAACTGCTTGGGGGTAGAAATGGGTATTGGGCTTCAGGATAGATATCTCTTTAAAGGTTAGTCAAGGAAGGGAAAGGTTGGGATTAGTTTACTAATGGATCAAGACCACATAATCCTCTTCTTATTAAAGGCAAGGACAGGTCTAGGTGCCTGAAAGGCAACTCTTATTTCTTAATAACAGGACTTTCTGAGTCATCAAAGGGTGACACGCACAAGTGTTTCATTATTTATACATTACTTGGCCTGACCAAACCTCCAGTTAACAAAAGTGGTGAAAGTCCAGTCTGACCAGTCCACCACTACCTTGGTCAAAATTATCCAGACTTGTGGGCCATCAGTTGCACGTTAGTTGGTATGGTGGGATATTACTGCAATTGCTCCTTTTACATGGTGGTATCTGAGTGCTCAGAGTAACTGGAGCCCATTTTGAAATGGCCAAGTCACTGAACTTAACAAAAAAAAAAAAACTTAGGCAAACATTTAGTGGAAGACCTTTATTTGAAAAAAAACTTAGGCAAACATTTAGTGGAAGACCTTTATTCGAAAATCCAAGCCAAGCATGGCTACAGTATTGCTAAACGTTTTGGCTACCTACGCAGTATGGGAAGTGTATAGGAATCCAAATGCTAGCATTGATGCCGCTGGACACCTTGTTGGATTCTGATCATGAATAATCCTCATTTCTGTCTGACAGGTGAAATGGGCCTTTGGTCCTTGGTGGTGTTGGCCATTGAGCGATACCTTGTGGTCTGCAAGCCCATGAGCAATTTCCGATTTGGTGAGAACCATGCCATGATGGGTGTAGCATTCACCTGGATCATGGCCCTGTCTTGCTGTGCTCCTCCTCTCTTCGGCTGGTCCAGGTACATCACAGTGAGAATCAATGAAATACGATTAATCCACCAATTACTCTGTTTTACCTTCTCTGGCATGTAGCTGGTGCATTTTTTCCTTTTCCCTCCTCCGCCATCCTAATTTGCTATCATTACTTCCCCATCTCCCTCTCTTTTTAGCTTTCAGATTTATTCAGAATCAAGAGGCCGCAGATACCCTTAAAGTGTGCTTAAAGCCAAAACTTCTAGATAAAGTAGGAGAGAGTTAAAGCCCCTATGGAGTTCATTTCTGCTTTCTGCGTCCCACTGGGGAGATGTCCTCTCACTTCCTGTATGCAACAGATTTCCCATCTTAGACAGTTGTCACAGGAAGACTTGTCTCCATAGGAGTTTCCCTTGCCTCTGACGACAACTCAAAAATTTTGGATTCCCACCACTTGATAGTGGTCAACAGGACACAGAGAGGGGCACATTTCCCATAGTGGAGACACAACAATAAACATTTGTCAAAGGGGTTTAACCTTCCCGTACTCCGGGAAAGAGATGGATGCGTTCCTAAAACACAAAACATAACTGGATACTAACATCTATAGGTATTAACACCAAAGATTGTTGATTTTAGGAATATCTAATTGTCTTCTGGAGGATCAGGAAGTAAATAATTTGTTTTTTGGCTGGAGCAATCAGAGCCATTCTAGGGGCTTTTTTGGCCTTCCTCTGGAGCATATAGAATTTTGTATAAGGAGGTTTTCTATTTATCCTATTTATTTCTGTTGGTTGAACTAGGTGAAATTGTGCCTTTTTTTTCAAACTATATGACCTTACATACATTTTTTATTTATCTATTTTTTTTTTGGATGGAGTCGGGAAAGGTTAGAGGTAAAAGGAACTCTTTCAATTGGGACAAATGTTTCGGTGCAGGGGCGGACTGACCATTCGAGCACTCGGGCACTGCCCGAGGGCCCGGGGTCAGTAGGGGGCCCCATGAAATGCCCCTGGCACCTTTTTTATAGGCTTTTTGGGTGTGCTTTGAGTGTGGGCAAGGACTCAGGGGCCCCATGATCCCCATGAGTTGTCAGTCCACCCCTGTTTCGGTGACAACTAAGATGGAAATTCTGCTAATTTTGGCAAGATTTCCTGTTGTATCTCCAAGAACTGCAAGGAAATGTCCAAAGCAGGATGCAAACAACAAAAATATTCTGATAGGGGTTTTAGCCAAGTCCAAAGCTAAAGATATTGGCTTTCTATACACTATAAAACTTCCAAGGACAAAAGAGTAACATGCAAACTGTAACTATTTCACCTTCCTGATCTTTTTATCAATTAAAACCCATTGGTGTTTTCTTATCACTATACTTTTCTGTACATTAGCATAAGATATTAAACACTGGTATAATATATTATATATATATATATATATATACATATAATAAGTTTATAGAATAATACAAACAATAAGTATAGGAGACTGTACAACTGAGCAAGACTGAAGGTAAGGCCGGAGGTCAGATTTAATGTATTTACAACAACTGTCCCACTTTGGTAGGGACAGTCCCTGTATGTCCTAGTCTTCCTTCCTCCGTAGTTTCCATTGTTAAGGGATGATGTGTAGATCTGCATAAATGTATTTATTAGGTAAATAATAGATTTGTTTATTCAGATCTACACATCACACTTCAACAATCAAAACTATGGAGGAAGGAAGAATAGGACATACAGGGACTGTCCCTACCAAAGCGGGACAGTTGAAGTAAATACGTTAAATCGGTCCTCCAGCCTTCCCCTCTCAGTCTTGCTCAGTTATACAGTCTCCTCTCCTGGACCAAAATAGCTTATTTCTCATTTCACTGCACACTTTGAGCTTCTCACAATGTGCATCAGAAGCTGCAGGAGGTTAGATAGAGCCCACCTCATTTCCTGACTGGAGGACATCCAGCATAATCTAGACCTTTTCTTCCCAGCCTGACTCTCCCTGGCCTGCCCCTTTCATTCTTTGGATCTCAGTTTTGTAAATTATGGATTTCTAAGGGTACAAATCAACTTCTCTCAGACTTCCTGACTGGCTTCTCTGCTTTCTTTCCAGATACATCCCTGAGGGAATGCAATGTTCATGTGGAGTTGACTACTACACTCTGAAGCCTGAGGTCAACAATGAGTCCTTTGTCATCTACATGTTCATTGTCCACTTCACTATTCCTCTGATTATCATTTCCTTCTGCTACGGACGTCTGGTGTGCACTGTGAAAGAGGTAGGTGGCAGGGCCACATGCTTTCTGGGGTCTACAAACCCTCTACGGTCGTTTTTCACCCCTTCCTTTCCACGATAATTCACTTGACCTGTTCCATTCAGATTTCCTTTTATTTACTGTCAATGAGCCAACACTCCAACTGAACTTCCAGGATGACTATTGACTGAAGTCCCATATCTTTTTCAAGATGAGAAGACAGAGACCCCACCTACCCTTGAAAACAAGGGTCTGAATACTCTCAAAATGTTGTTATTCCTACTGATATTGAACTTCAGTAAACAGTCACCGTAGAAGTTTGCTTGTAATACTGACTTTAGCCAAGAAGCCACCCCTATAGATGGGTTATATGAGGTTTGTGCAGTGTAGTTTAATGTATTATAAACAAAAAACTGGTGGGGGTCCTAACACTTAACCACTCTATCCAAAACTGGTAAAAAAAAGTTTTGCCTTTGGATACACTTCAAGAGAAGAATGAGGTTGGTGAGGTCCTCCCTGAGCTCTAACCCTAAACAGTGGAGTCATTTTGGAAAGGCAGGGGAATATCTGGTACTATGTGGTACTACTATCTACACCCTCTTATAGCAGTGGGTCAGATTCACTTTAGAGCAGGGGAGGACTGACAACTCATGGCACCCCCGGGCAATAGGAGATCATGGGGCCCCCATGTCCTCACTCATACTTAAAACCACACCCAAAAAAAGCCTATGGAAGGTACTAAGGGCATCTCATGGGGTCCCTGGGCGATAGGGGATCATAGGGTCCCTGTGTCCTCACCCACACTTAAAACCACACCCAAAAAAAGCCTATGGAAGGTACTAAGGGCATCTCATGGGGCCCCTGGGCAATAGGGGATCATGGGCCCCCGTGTCCTCACCCACACTTAAAACCACACCCAAAAAAAGCCTATGAAAGGTACTAGGGGCATCTCATGGGCCCCCTACTGACCCTGGGCCCTCAGGCAGTGCCCAAGTACCCGAGTAGTAAGTCCGCCCCTGCTTTAGAGTGATTGTGGTTTGATAACGGTCAGTGGTCTGCATTGTGAGTGATAGAGACAAACCATGCAATATCAGAGAACTTCCTAGAGAACTCACAGGCAACATAAAGGCTGGATGTGCTTTTGATTTATCAAACAAAATGGCGTCCTCCACAGGTCAATCCCATGTTCAGTGGCTCTTTTACCATTTAAAAAGAGCTTTTGTCAATGGACAAGTGTAACTTGCTTTCAGGTGAACTCAACTTGCATTGAGATCAATTTGAAATAGTTCTGAGACCATTCAGAGTTTCTTCACGTGTGCATTTGAAATCCTTGTGATTTGTGTCAACCGGTTTCAAGCTGCTTAGCATGCGGAGATAAGCTGTTCTGATGCATACAAAAAGCCTGTGTACCCAAACCCTAATGGTGGGACGTGGGTGTAGTGGAAGGTAAGTGGCCTTTGTTCCTCTTACTCACCCTTGGCCCTCTTCTCCTCCATAGGCTGCAGCCCAGCAGCAGGAATCAGCCACCACCCAGAAGGCCGAGAAAGAAGTCACCCGCATGGTTGTCATTATGGTCGTTTTCTTCCTGATTTGCTGGGTCCCCTATGCCTATGTTGCATTCTACATCTTCACCCACCAAGGCTCAGAATTTGGCCCGATTTTCATGACCGTGCCAGCTTTCTTTGCCAAGAGCTCTGCCATCTACAACCCTGTCATCTACATTATGCTGAATAAACAGGTATGTTGGCTTTGTGCATAATCATCTCCTTTTACACAATCAACCCTCCCTGATTCTCCACCAGTTCCAACTTCTGGTTCCTGATACTCCAACCTTTGGACTAAATTGCTATTTTGCAATGCCTACTGTTTTAATATTATCTCCACCCTGTCTGCATTTGATGCTTAAAATCAGCCGGTGAAAAAATTGACTTTCGGCAAAATTATAAGAGTGGAGAGGTATTCTAATGTGGAGGGTGGTATCTCTCTATCTATTCATGTGATTGTATGATGACAGAGCTACATGTCATAGGGTACTGCCATGGTGCAGAACGAGAACCATGATAATAAAATGTGACAGGAACAAAGTCCTCCAAGAATGCTACAAAAAAAAGCTACAGAATAGGAATTGGGCAGTGGAAAGGCAGAACCACCAATAATGTGAAGCTGCGGATTGAAAATGAGGCAGCTGAAGGAACAAGACCTCAAAACTATGAAGTTACAGAATGAGAATTAGATATTTGAAGGAGCAGGACCTTTAAGGATGCAAAGAGATATCATCAGAATTAGGCAGTGGTAGGAGCAGGACCTCCAACAATGCGAAGCTACAAAATGAGATTTAGGAAGTGGAAGGATTAGGGCCTCCTACAATGTAAAACTACAGAATGAGGTTTAGATATTGGAAGGAAAAGGACCTCCAAGGATGCAAAACTACAGAATGAGAATTAGATAGTAGAAGGAGCAGGACCTCCAAACATGCAAAGCTACAGAATGGGAATTAGGCAGTAGAAGAAGCAGAGTTTTCAAGGATTCAAAGCTACAAAATAGGAATTATAAAGGGAAGGAACAGCTACAGAATGAGGATAAGCCAGCAGAAGGAACAGGGCCTCCAACATTGTGAAATTACTGAATGAGAAATTGTACGACCTCCAAGGATACAAAGCTACAGAATGAGAATTAGGAAGTGGAAGGATTAGGGCCTCCTACAATGTAAAACTACAGAATGAGGTTTAGATATTGGAAGGAAAAGGACCTCCAAGGATGCAAAACTACAGAATGAGAATTAGATAGTAGAAGGAGCAGGACCTCCAAACATGCAAAGCTACAGAATGGGAATTAGGCAGTAGAAGAAGCAGAGTTTTCAAGGATTCAAAGCTACAAAATAGGAATTATAAAGGGAAGGAACAGCTACAGAATGAGGATGAGCCAGCAGAAGGAACAGGGCCTCAAACAATGTGAACCTACTGAATGAGGAATTGTACGACCTCCAAGGATACAAAGCTACAGAATGAGAACTAGGTAGCAGAAGCAGTAGAACCCCAAAGAATGTGGAACTACAGGCAGTGGAGGGAGCAGGACCTTCAACCATGAAGAGTTACAGAATGAGATGAATTAGGTAGTACATGGTCCTCTAGCAGCACATTTTATATAATGAGGGTTAGTCAGTGAAATGAGCAGAATCTAGCAGAACAGATTATTTCAGAAGTGGAGAATCCAATACTAAAAGGACAAAACCATCCATCTCGGATATTTTAAGAAATGAGAGATGGACAGTAGATATTCTCCAGCAACACATTATAACACAAGAGCAGAAACAGAGCAATATACAGTAGAGATTGGTGAATGAAGTAAGAAGATCTTCAGGTACTTAGACTTCTCAGCCTCAGCTCTTCCACTAATGGCTTCTCTCTTTCTCCCCATAGTTCCGTAACTGCATGATCACCACCCTGTGCTGTGGGAAAAATCCCTTTGGAGATGAAGATGCCTCCTCTGCTGCCACTTCTAAGACAGAATCCACCTCTGTCTCTACCAGCCAGGTGTCACCTGCATAAGATCGTCATCCAAGCCTGTGTCAGGGTGCGCTGCCTCACTCAGCTCCCGCTACCCCCGTCTCCGCCTCCTCCTTGCTAAGGCAAAGAATGTCGCCATGTTACCCTTTAAATACCTGAAACATATCTTCCCCAGAAGGGGTAAGAGCCTCTCCCAACCCCTTCGCTGCTGAAACCGACTGCATTAAGTTGCTCTGCAATGTGATGGAGCCATTATGGCAGCGAAGGGGTTCGTTTCACCGACCAAACAATTTGCTCAGAATTGTAAATACCTCAAAGCCGAGACATCCCGCTAGCCTGGAAACGCCTTCTGCACAAAAAAAAAAAGACAAGAGACTTGAAGCAACACACGTCCTAGAATCGGCAGCTCTTGGGTGTTGATACCGTGGCGCAAAGCAATGTCTGGCCAGTTCATCTTGCTAAATTTGTCTTTGTAATGCAATGGAGGGTTTTTTGTAATATGTTATAAAAAATTTCCAGTTTTCTGCTTATTTTTTCTTTTTTTTTTTCTCTTTCTTGTGGGTAACGTCTGATAGTGAGGTTAGGCAGACCCTCTACAGCTGTAATAACGAGCACTTTGCAAGTAAAAAAAATACAAAAAAAATATTTCAACTGTCTTTTTTATTTAATTTACATTCTTAGCCAACTCTCCAAACTGTGTACTGACCAGAAAGAGCTGCGCGCCACCAAAAATTCATCATCATTGGCTATGTCCTCCATATTCTTTTGTTACTGCTCATGGCCAAGTAAGGCTTCTGAGCACACAAAAAGACAAAAAAAGCAATTCGGTTGAAAAGAGTTTTGGTCTTGCAGTTGATAACTCAGCAACCTCTCAGGCAACAAACTTTCCCTTGGTGTTCTTGAGCCAATAAGGGATCAGTTAGTCCATCTTTTACACCAACTGATTCTTGCTATGGTAACATTTAACACAATTTTAAAGGCTTTGTTGGCTCCCCATATGGCCAAGCCAAAATTGATCTGCTACCCCATTGGTGTCCTCCTCTTCCACCCCAATGATGTTCTTCCTCTAAGTTTGGCATTTGAGGATATATAATTTTCACTTCCAGAAGAATGCATGTCAGTGTGGGACTTCTGACAGAAGGACTTTTTAATAGCATTAAATTCCCCCCTTAATAACATCTGCATATTTTGTGGCAGTGAGACGGCGAAAACCCCACAAAATACACACTTTTGCTAACCAATTTAAGCTGCGGAAATGGATATTTTAGATTCTGAGGCAGGTTCCTTTTATTTTGCAAGAGAACGACTGAACGGGGAACAGAGGGGAGATGTAGGCCGCTCTGCACCCCTTCACGAAGCCCCCTCTGAAAAAGCCAACTTGCAGAACTCTGCAGTACCAACACTATGTTTGTAAATAGGAATAAAGATTTATGTAGATGTGTGTGCACATTGATATTCCTATGTACACGTGCACACGTATAGACAGGTATCTACACTGTATACATACGTGTGTGATCATATGGTGTCTCAGTGGGAAGATGACCAATGTAATGCGTTCTTTCCTGATAGTAGCTGTTTATTTTCTGTATGATAAGATAGCAGATATTTCCACATAAAAACATTTCCTGCTTAAGTGTGTGTCTCTGTATATGTCTTCATGTTGGGGAGAATGGGCGATCAGAGTAGGGTGGAGGCACGGGCGGACTGAAAACTCATGGGGCCCCCGGCAATAGGGGGATCATGGGGCCCCTGTGTCCTTGCCCAAACTCAAAAAAGCCTATGAAAAAGGTACCAGGGGCATCTCATGGGGCCCTCTACTGACCCCGGGCCCTCGGGCAGTGCCCGAGTTTCCAAATGGTCAGTCCGCCCCTGGGTGGAGGTTGCAATGGGTTGTCTGTGATGTCCATACACAAGGGAGGGTTAAAACCACAACTTTTCATGGGAAAATAAGTGTCCCTGTTGAAAGTTTCCCCTTTATTCCTGTTCTGGTGCAACTCAAAATTGTGGATTTACAGTCTGTGACCTTAGTGATCTTGGCACAAACAGGGAAAAAGGTGATAGTGGTTCCATCCCCTCATGATTCTATCCAACTTTTAAAAATGTGGAAAATTGATGTCTATACTTACCGACATTTTTCTTTTTCTAGTGGCTCATCACATAAGCCTATTGTAGGCAGAGTAGGCTGACGTGATGATTGCCAGGAATTGGAAAATTGTTTTCCCTCCATACTTCATTATTGGTGAAGTCAATATAGCCTGAGATTATGAGTGCCAGGGATTTGGAAAATTGTTGTCCATATTTACCATAATTGTCCTTTCTTGGTAGCTCATCATGTCAGCCTACTATGAGTAGAGTAGGTTGAAATGGCGCGTAGAGTACCAGGATTTTGAAAACATTTTGTGCATCCATTCTCCATTATGGGTGAAGTCAACATAGGCTGATATGAGTACCAAGAATTTGGAAAATTGTTGCCCATTCATATTCCACTCTGGGTGAAGTCAACATAGGCTGAAATAATGAATACCAGGGTACCAGGGTTTTGAAAATGTATTGTCCATACTTACCATAATTGTCCTTTCTTGGTAGCTCATCATGTCAGCCTACTATGAGTATGAGTAGAGGAGACTGAAATGATGAGTGCCAGGAATTTGGAACATTGTTGTCCCTCCATGCTCCACTATGGGTGAAGTCAACATAGGCTGAAATTATGAGTACCAGGGATTTGAAAATGTATTGTCCATACTTACCATAATTGTTTTTTTCTTGGTAGCTCATCATGTCAGCCTACTATGAGTATGAGTAGAGGAGGCTGAAATGGTGAGTACCAGGAATTTGGAACATGGTTGTCCCTCCATACTCCACTATGGGTGAAGTCAACCTAGGCTGACATGATAAGCACCAGGAATCTGGAAAATTGTTGTCCATACTTACCATAATTTTCCTTTCCTGGTGACTTATCATATCAGCCTACTATGAGTAGGAGTAGAGTAGGCTGAAATGGTGAGTACCAGGAATTTATAAAATGCTTGTCCACCCATGCTCCACTATGGGTGCAGTCATCCTAGGCCTAGGCTAACATGATGGGTACCAGAAATCTGGAAAATTGTTGTGTATGCTTTCCACAATTTTCCTTTCCCAGTGGTTCATCATGTCAGCCTTGCTTACCTTGGACCTTGTAACCAATTATACCGTTGAAGACTGATATGATGGGTACCAGGGAAATGTTTTGTCTATAGTTATATTTGAAGTTCCACCTTCCATGCAGGTAATGAAGACCTAGTATCAGATACTTTTTTCACTTTAAAATATATCTAAACCCTTAAACATATATGTAATATAGTGCAGCTCATTAGATGTGGTATCTTCCCCAGTCTTAATGTTTCAGGATAAGAACATTTTTAGGAAGTACAGGAAATTTCTGTTGGTTTTGCCAGAAATGTAATGCCCTTGCCTCTTCCTGTGAGATGAACAGATAGCAAAACAATTTTATAACGTCCTTATGTAAGCTGCTAATCCCATTATTCAACCCCCCCCCCCCCCTTCTTCCATGAAATGGAGATCAACACATGCAGATGTGTATATAATCCATGATGGGTGCCAAACATGGTTCCCCTATAGTGGAGGAAAAAATGTAGCCACCAAGGAACATGAAATGTGTTATTTGCAGGAGCACTAGGTGAAAATAAAGGGGAAAAAAGCCTAAAAAAGAATACTGATGCAGCTACCAAATCTAAGCACTGCTGCAATATATTACATTTTTTGTGCTTTGACACACGTTAAGACCATGAATGCCAAGCAATGTGTAACATTTCCAGATTATTATAACCTCTTACAAAGATCACAGTACTCCTCCTGACAATGCCTTCATCTGCATTTATCCCCAACAGGCAGGGCTGCTGTTAGGCACCACAGGGCCCCATACAGCCAACTTGACAGGACCCCCCCCTCCCCCCAAAAAAAACACCCCAGTTTACTATGCTTCCGTTATGAATGAACACAGTGAGTGATTATCTCACTGTGTTCATTCAGGAAAGAAAGAAGCTGGTAGATGTGACATATTTCCTGGACCCTTCCCCCACTCTCCATTCTGAAGGATCCTATTGCGTGATTGCAGCTTCTGGTGGGAAGGAGAGCAGAGAAGCTGGCAGCACTGCAGGGGTGGGGGCACACAGATGGGCCTGGGCAGCTTGGGGATATGTATCATGACAGTGATGGTGATGGGTGCAGCAGGGGGGCAATTACTGGAACCGATCCCCTGTGTGGTTCTCTCTGCAGCAGCTGCAAGCCAGCGGGAGGTAAAGGAAAGGAAGCCATCTTTAAGCTGCTGCAGAGAGAGAGCCATACAGGGGATCGTTGCAGTAATTGCACCCCCCCTCCATCATTCCGATCACCTCCCTGCCCACATAAGATTTGCCCAGACCCTGCCCGGGCCCCCTGCTGGCCTGTGCCCCCTACAGGAGGACTGGTGGTACCCCCATATCTATGGCCCTGCCAGCAGGACAGCATCATCCAGGATCACCATACTTTCTTCTTTCCAAAATATTAACAAAATTGACTGGAGCTACTACTTGTGTTGGGCTGCCATGCACAACATGGGCCCAATGCAATGTGAAATTGAGATCAGTTGTTTCTAAGGCCCAGTTCACACCAATGTGCTGCATTAGCGTGAACTGACTGGAAACGCGTTACAGTGCGCGTTAAGAAAAATATATGACGTATTTTAGCCCCAGATATGAACAAAAAAAAAGCCAATCAAGGAACCATAATGCATTAAAAAAAAATGCCTGTCAATGCACAACTCAAGTGATTCCTGCTAAATACAATGGCAGTGGTGTACATCTAGACCAGCCTTTCTCAGCCTGTTCACCACAGAGGAACCCTCGAAATAACATTCCAGTATCAGGGAACCCCTGCTAAAAATTACTATATCTACAACTCATGATATATTTGTGTGATGGTCGGTGGGAAGAATGCTCCTTACACTTGTGGTCATTGGGAAGAATTCCCCGTTACAGATAGCTAAAAAGATGAATGGTGTCAGT